TTAAGCCAAACAGTTTTTTCATAGAACCTTACATCAAGTTTTCCTTGAGGAAGGTGCATCTCCAGGAACTTTTTTTCTCCCACCTTTAAACAAATATTCTCAATGAATTTCTCACAAAAAGTGAATGCTTTTGGTTTTTACTCTTCTTCGAAAGGTGATAATCGTTCGCCACAGAAAATTAATATCCGCATGCGTCGCTTGAATAAATTTGGTACCAGGAATGCATGGTTTCGCAATCAGTGTGGTCGAACCTATCCACGTTTAAATGGCGAGGAGGAGATGGGACAATGAGGATGATGGAAGAGAGATAAATAAACCCAGAAATTAAATAAAGTCTTCTTCTTGGATGGACGCGTCTGTATTTATTTATAAACCTATGTAAATGAGCCATTGTGGATTGTTGTCGTGTCTTCGCAGAAGAAGCCGCGCGTCAATTAATTGTTGGCAGGTGAAGGAAGCTCTTCAGATAATTTCAACAGTATTTATGAGCACAAATTATTATTAATAAATAGAAACTCAAGCCCCATTCTTCTTTCACTTGAATGTAGGATGCAAACAGCAGATGACATAAGAACTACTCTTTCATTACGTAAAAAACGTAGCACCACATTCTTCACGTATGTAAATAATGACCATCCTGGAGAATGAAACCCTTAGGAAATCTAGTGACGACGAATCCTAAAAAATTAGGGAAATGCCAACACATCCACTCGACTTGGGAATTCATAATGACTCGACAACATTAATTTGTGCTAATGTGTAACGGTTTCCTTTCCTCCAACAAGATGCGGATTGTTCTCATCGTCTCATCCACACAATTTTACTATTCCCATCAATTCCAATTATTTACGAGTCTTTAAAAGGAAATTTATGACTGTCTTAGCTGTTGCAGCCATAAATAGCCTCCGACACAGTCCGTCAGTCGCGCATTAAAGTCTAATATGGGCTTAAATGTGCAATTAATCTACCGAAATTATCAAGTATTTGTAGCGAACTTATTCCAACCACGCCATGGATTCATATTCAGAGCATACATACCGCGAGATGATGAACAAAAGAAAGAAAAAAATGTACCACAGCTAATGGCAGATAATAAAAAGTAAGACAAACTGTCAGCTATGAATCAATATTTAAGTCAGTAATAATGAGAAGTATATAATAAAGTATGTATCTGATATCCACTGCTACATATTTACACATCCATCCATCTATCATTGCACATTTTGAACTGTGTGTGGTTCACGGACGACCCAATTCCTCGAGAGAACAGTTACATTTTTAGAGACAAATTAGCAAGTCATACGACTAACATGGGATCGATCTCTTCGTCCCAATCGCAGCGATGTCGTCGACTTTTATCATTGTCTTCTTCTTTCCGCTCCTTCAATCCTGAAGATGAGCTTGGTTATGGTATGCACATACTTTTTTTTATTTCTACCTCTGCATATTTGCCTACTTTTTAAACCGAGGGTAAAAATAGGCCAGCAGCGGAAGAATTCCAACAGGTTGCAACCACCACGTAGAAACATCCATCATGCCCACGAACCAATTTCTCGTTGGCCTTTCTTCTACAGTCGGATTGAATGAATTGGTTTCTGTTTTTCTCGTGGGCAGTAAAAAGAGGGGACACTGAATAATAAGAAATTTGGTCTACGGGAAGTGAATCTGCATCTCGTTCATTAATTCATGGTGGTTGTGCCACTTAAAAGTGTGGCGTCAATTTGTCAATCCATGCCCGCTATTATACAGTCCTATTTTCTAATTGATGCGCACCACTCACTCATCCAATTTGTAAGATGCAAATGTCTCAATTAATCAAATATTAAATGAGGAACGATCCTTACTTTTCGAGACGATGAGAAATGTTTTCCTCGCCAAGAATAAGATTTTCCTTGCGGTGTGTGTGCTGTTAATTTTCTCGGATGTCGTCGTTTCTGCGCTGTGTATGTGTTGGCAGAGAGAAATGGTTAAATAACCGTTGTTTTTTGTTGCGAATTTAAGTCGCACAATTATTCTGAAACCTAATAAAAGACAGAAATGTCTCTCTTCGGTGGGGCAACAATCAAGTGGGTAAGCTGCGATTACACATAGTTGGCAATGAACAATGGATCTGAACAACGGCAACTCGACGGAATTACTTCATTGGCATCTGCTCTCCCTCACCAATTCTTCGGTGTGGTGGGTTTGATTCTCACACGTTTTTCTACACTTGAAATCTTCCAAAGATTACAGAATGAAAATAAAAAATAAAAAAATGAAGGTAATTCACAGTCATGTGCAAAATGAGGGACAAGAATGAAGCACAAATTAGTTCATTGTTTGGATTTATTGTGTGTCTAGAGTCATTTTATGATAAATTTGCAACATTTTTAGTGCATTATTGGGCAAGAGAAGAAACAAATACTTGGTTTTGTAATTTATAATTCTTCCTTTAATCTGGATTTTGTCCTTGTCACTTTCCGTCGTCTCTGTGTCTTGGTCAACGTCAACGTAAAGCAACACATACGGCAACTTTCTACCAATTTCAGCGTAAATATATATCATGAAGAATTATGCTAATAAAATAATCCCATTTCGCCAAAATAAGCGACAAGCGTAATGAAGTCGTTGCTGCAATGTACACTAAAACTCTAACAACTTTGGTAAAAAAAAGCAAGAAATGCGAAACAAAGTCAATTGCACAACCGAACCACTGATTAATTTGAATGTTGATTATACACATAATTTGCTCTGGTTGGTTTGACTTTGGGGGAACAACATGCAAATTGAATCGGTCCAATTTTTGCTGTTTTACAGATTTTTTTAAAGGTTTCTCTTATATTTGTGCTTGGTACACTTTGGGTTATGATTTATGTGCACTTGTTTCTTGTGTCTGCTGTCTGCACGCTTGTGTTCGAATTAAGGGCGATTACGATGCAGTTTTATTGACGACATTGTTCAATAAGCACGTACCGACAGGACACAGTAATTGAGAACAAACATACAATGCGCTGGCAATAAAATGTTTTCATGATCAGTGGAATTTCATAATTAATTTAGGTTCCCAATTTAATTTCTATGATAGAAAATCAAACTTTTATTGCGGGTTGGTCAGCTACATAAGTAGTAAAAAAAATAACATTGAATTTTTTCTCACCTTTTCCGTCGTAAAATTGAGACTGAAGAATGTGCATATCAATGTGTAAATAATACATGTACTCCCACTGCCTCGTGTGAATTGAACGTGTTAATTTCTCCAGCAAGCAATGCTTCCGAATTCTTTCGACGATTAAAAATACCGTGTTTATTACATTGAACGATGCATATTGTAAGATGGGTCTGGCCACTTTTGGTGCGTATTTATACGTGTAACGACTGGCGTTGCTGTGAGTTCAGGATACTCTGGTCAAACAAGAAAGTTAAACAAGTAATTTTATGGTGTCGCTGGCTGGTCAGCCAGATGCAGTTCACCTTGTCCCCCAATCCTGGCTAAGAGATGGCAATTCAAATCAAACTGCAAATTTGGTCATTTTTCATCTGTCTAATTATTCTTTTTTAAATAAATATGCATGCATAAATAGTTTAGTAAATTGTAATAAATTGTCGTATTTACCTATTTTATTAGACAAAATGAATTAGTATGAGCACAATAGTTTCATTTTTTGTTACACATTTTGAGTAATACGATGAAGCTGGATACGTACGGAATATATTGGGCTGATTAATGTATGTGATTGAAGTGTAGCAATTGAAAATAATGAGCATTTCCTTCTCGCTCGTTTTTGGGGAGCAATTAACAAGTTCACCTTAAATCTCCAGATAGGGACACATCTCAATTTCCTTCACTTCCCTTCCAGATTATGCGAACATTGAGGAAATGGTCCAAGTTTTGATAAAAATTGTAAACATTTCCTACTTTTTTGACAGGATTATGGTCCATAGATTCTTGCATGGAGCATTCGTAGGCACGTATGTACAGCGTGGACATGTTACAAAATGTCAAGGCGCATAAAGATGTTGCCACCTCCTCTGCTTTTGCAAGCACATTTTCATATTTCACACCTAATCCCCACAAACGCTGGCAATGACAATAATTCCCTAATTTAGTGGAAACTTGGTCTATGTCGTAGACAAATGAAGTGCGGATGACGCGAGGGTTGAGGATGCAACCGAGTTATTAATCTGCTTATTATTATTATGAGTGAGGGCAGGATTTTACTTATTTAATTGTTGCACATACTTAGCTTGCTCAAGTTTACCTCGAATAATGGGATGCGTAATTTTAATCCCTTCTTAAGCTAAATACATGCTTCCTTCACACACACACACGTTATGCAACCAAGGGCATTGTCACAATCATCATCTTCTTCACTCTTACGACACGACGACGCGATCTCCATATTTCTACCTACCTACGTACGTTTACAAGTTTAACCTTTCATTCCTCGCTGAAAATGAAAGTTGTTGAAAAGCTGAATGAAGCTTGGAAGGAAGGAGAGTCTGACTGGGTGGGTGGTGCCGATTCTCCCTTTTCGACGTGATTTCTTGGGTCTGCACATTAAGGGTTGAAGGGTTAGATGAGATAACGAGGGTGAAAAAGTGCCTTGAGAATGGCCCAAATTGACACTTTCACCTCACCAATTGACCCTCCGCTCATCCAACCAACCATGCGATCCACCAAGTCAACATGTAATCGAGGTGTATCCGCACATTTCGTAACTCGTCGTCATTTACAACCTTCTCTGAGACCATACTCGCCTCTTGGGTGACGAGTGATTTCATCGTGACGTGACATTTGTAGCATGAAGGAGCCTTAATCAAGCCCATCAGGGAGGAAGAAGCAGGGATCGAGATGGACTTGCTATCTATCCACGTACAATAAATGACAATGATGATGATGACGAATTGAGAAAATTTTGAGATGCTGGCAAGACGACGACGACGACGTCTCTCTTATCCTACCACCAACCACCACTTGAATATTAAGCGATCGCTTTGAATGGTGCATGGCTGTGTAGAAACCAGTCTTGGTTGGTATTTAGTCGGCATTCATTCATCGGATGAAGACCTCTCTCTCTCTCGATCACTGTGCCACTGGGGATCCCAACCAATACACCTCTTACCAAGTTGAACTACCTGTCCTGTGGTCAAAGACTTTGGCTCTGTTTACCTCAAAAAATCACTCTTTTTGCCATTTTCACTTATCTCTCCTCGCACAGTTCGACGGGCTGAAATAATTTAATAACAACTTTTTTTGCGAGTGGGATTCAAATTTCTAATGTCGAAATCATGGGTGTGGACGTGAGTGGTGTTGAAACGCTTTGGAATTTATTCGACTCCTTGCGACTAATTTTGAGCAAAGTTAATACGAATCCGGGAGGACTGGGTCAGAGCGAGTAGTTTGCGACATTCTCCTTGAGATTTCCTGGTGGTGGTGGTGACAAAGTGAGACGACGGTTCACAAATTATTGTTTACTCCAAAGTGGTGTCGTGTTCTCAAAAGTGACGAAAATTGACACGCAACACAACGAGTGACGATAATGTGGTGACATTTTCGATCCCAATTATTCTCCACAACAAGGTTTGCCCCTCATTTATCTACACATTTCGACAACGCATAATAATAACTCTGCCGAGGAAGATTGAAAACGTCCACGCGTCACGAGAGAGATATTTTGTTTGTCGAGGGGTTTAGTAATGAGGATTAATTGAACAATTTGTAAATATAGAATTTTGAGAACAATTAAAATATCGCAATCACAGTTAATTTTCCCAGTATAGGAAATGGATTTTAAAAAAAGACGGACGGACAGCGAAAACCAACAAGTAGAGAAAATTTACAAAACTAATTTAGAAAAATAATTGTGGAGAGTTGCCCCACAAGTTTTTTTTTGCTTGTCTATTAGCTTATGTCCCCCTGGCGTACGTTCCTACACATTTGTGAATATGTGGCTGGTGGTCACTTTTGCTGGTTTAGTATTTTATGCAGATATTCAATTTTGGATGGTGCAGTAGAAAGCACACCACATCGTGAGCAAGCCAAGCAGGGTTAAAAGGAAGAAAAAAAGTTTACACTAAAAGCCGACAAGAAAAAAAAACAGTTTAAAACAATGATAAATTTCTAGTCGTTCTTTTTTTCTAGAAAAAATGAGACATTGTCAAATAGTCTCGTCGTCTCACAATTTCGCGAGTTCACACTTATTGAAAATCCATCACGTCACTTCTGACACTCCATTTCACATCAGAATGATTGAAAAGGGACAAGGGCACAGTTTAGGCAGGATTGATTTACCCTCAAAACTAAATTCATTTTTAATATTGTAACGCAATTTAGCATCATCTTAAAATCCAATCCAATGCAGTGCAGTCTTCCTTCACGATGTGTACCGTTGTTGTGTTTGCATTGTACAATGTGCTGATTATTTCAAGGAGTACTGTTCGTCAGGTTGCATGTCAAATGCGATTCTCCCATTATTACTATTACCAGTGTACTTATTAGACGAGACGAAAAAAATAAATCAGCAATTATGTATCCTAATCGCATAATGGGGAAGGAATAAAAAAATAGTGCGAGGAAATATGGTCAGGTGCAGGTCAAGAGGAATTTGTAAAGGTCCCTGATTTTTTCCCTCTTCAACAACAACAAATGTCTCCGTTATCAAGACAAGCTCGGGTTAGTTTCTGCCATGAGTGTGCGCATGTAGATTTTTGTGCTAATTAGCACAAGTCGACATTTTTAAATGTCAATCATTCCATTAATTCGTCGTTGGTGAGTCAGTTGGTCCTGAAGTTGATCTCCTTCGAGAGCAGAGGAGTCCGTTTGGTGCATTTCACTTAATTTCTGACAAGTCCGACATCTATGAAGGGGGGCTAACAGGAATTGAACCAGTCCTTAAAAGGGTACAGCACTGCCTTCGTCCAAATCTTGCTATCCCCTTTAAATTAATTCCTTGTATTTGTTAGGGCTACGCAAATTGGTTGTTTTACGACCTTGCGCCTCATGCAGGCATGTAGATATGCAAAGTAAAGCGTGCAAAATTATTCCCAAGCAGAGAATGAGGTGCGAGGATTGGATTGGTCATCAGTCAGCCGCACATAGTTAATAACGTTATTATTATTTTATATCGTATTTATTATGCGTTATTATTTTACACATATTTTCTCCCCTTTTTGATCATTAACCAAGTGCAGCAAAACGACTGGGCTATGATATTCATTATTAGGGCGCTCTGCGTCTGGTTGGGGGTAGGCTTTGGACGACTGACCATTTGTGACGACGACGACGACGCGTTACCACATGACATAGGAATCATACGATACGATGATATTAATATGGGGTGCAAGTCGCAATGGTGCATGTACCTCTTGCAGATCTATGGTCGCCTACTAATTGTCGCAGTTTACCGTCCGTTGCATTAAAACCGATTCAATGGAATTTGCAAATATTACATGGCCAATAGGATAGTAGAAAAAACACATGAAATACGGGACATTAGCTTAATTAATTATGAAATATGCACTACGATTCTCGAAAAATATTGTAGAAATTGTATTATTCTGTCCACTGCACATGTGTAGGAATCTGTCCAAAAGTGAAGTCTTATTTAAATTAGAATGTCTAATCATTCTGCAAAAAGATGGTGAGACGACGATGGTGGTGAAGATTAAAAGTGACCAAATGCATGAATAATGTGCAGATTATTTTGCGCAAAACCTCCCAATGCTTCGCACGATGAAAGGATCAAGGCGTTTGGTTGGACATCATCGACCACAACATCGTCATCACATAAGCTCACATGTAGCACTCCTTATTGCAGAGTGGTCCCTTCTGTTTTAATAAATTAATGCAATGCGCTCTGGTCGGCTTATCTGCACTCCAATCAAACAAATACACTTATTAGGCTTGAGTCAGACCAAGCAACAACAAGCACGTCCAACAAGAAGGAGCCTATCAGAAATTCCATCATTTCCTTTTTGCTCACTTAATTAAACGCTCAATAATAGTAAAGTAAACCCCAAACGTAAACATTACATAATGCAGAATGGAAACTGCTCTGGCTCTGCGCTCGTACTAAAATTGGGCTTCATTTGTCCAAACTACGCTTAGGACAGGGTTCATATTAGACTAGGAATTAGTGAGAAGTGCAATATCGTATTTTCTGTGATAAAATGTGTGAGATTCGTTGTGTTTGCTAGTCTCCGAGTTTGTGTGAACGACATGTCGACGAATACCGTTTTCCGTACCGCGACGGCTTGTTGATTCCTTCCCCGTCGAAAGAGTGCGACTCTGAAATAATTTTAACCATGCGGATAATCGTAGGTTTCCAGGCAGCTGCGGGCGAGCGGGGGACGGCGACACGTTTGCGAGTAGCTGGTCTGTACACGGAGGAGGAGGACGAGGTCACCACCACAGGCGACGGTGACCAGCCCGAAGGCGTCCTCGTCGGCAGAGTCCGCCGTCACCACGTCGTGATTCAGGAGGACCCCTTCACTGGTCTGTTTGACGACGACGACGGGGAAAACTCGTCACGTGACGAAATGGGCGAGTGCTCCCTCTCCATCATCGACCACGGCCTCACCCGCCTCTTCTACTGGCTGGGACACAAGATTGGCAAAAACCCCTCGTACTACATTATCATCCCCATTTTCATCTCTCTCCTCTGCGGCACCGGACTCCAGAGGCTGAGGTAAGGACTCGCAGAGAAATTCATTACTGGTCACCATTTCATTAATAAACGTTTGCTCTTGTGATTCAACAGGTATGTCGACGACCCCGAATATTTATTTTCGCCAGTCGACGGTGCGGCGAAAACGGAGCGTCTCATCGTGGAGGAGTTCTTTCCCATGAACTACACTCACAAGTTCCATCCCTCGAGGTTCACCCGTGCTGGACGTTTCTCAAGGTATGAAAAATGTCTCCTGCAAAGTTATTACAAAACTTCCGACTTGAGACTTAATCAGTGTCAGTCAAAGTACGTACGTAGGTATAATATCGTACAAAAGGAATTCATAAAATATGGGTCAGAATTAACAAAAGCCACGACGTTACACAGTCCGAGTTTTTACGCACAAACTAGTATTTCATCACAGTTTATGACAAATTTTTAGTTTTTCTTAAAAAACTGTCATTCGTAGTCACTCATTGAGTGAGATGCTTATATGCAAATGTGCCAACCTGTCTTGTTATGCAAGTCTTGTGGCGAGCAACTCATGTTCACAACGAGGTATTTATCTGCTCATGTGGTTGCATTCAGAGTTTTGGCTTTGTTGAAATTAATTTTTGTGTGTCTAAATTGTACTTGAGAGCCAAGTGCATGGAGTGTGAAATTCTCGACAGGTTGATATTTTTGCGCACTTATTAAAACGTTCAGTTAACCAATGCTGCTCTAGGTATTTAATTGCTTTGATTTTTGTGCCTAAATTCACGAGAGTAGATAATTGGGTGGGCATTTTATATACCATAATTTAGACTAAAAAATCCGTCGATTCGTCGACGAACACTGCTCTCGACTAAAAATATTTTCACATCCAGAATGTCGAACGCTTAACTATTTTATTAGGCATGCAGATAACTCGTGTTCCCTGAAAGTTACAACTTTTTCAATGAGAGGAAAGAAATTTGGTTTCGATGTACATTTTCTGGTCGAGTGGCTTCAATTTGGCCCAAACTTAGGCCCAGGCTTGTGCCATGGTTGTGATGAGCTGTGTAAATAAAAGGCGTAAAATGGACTCTGGGTCTGAGTGCTCGTGTGTTTGATGCAGCGTTACAAAATTTCAAGAAAAGCTGAATGAATGTCAGCGCACTTCATACATCACTAGCTTTTTGGTCATAACGACCTTCACCAAGTTACGCCGCTTGGTTGAAGTTGACCGTTTTCAATGTCTGATTTGCCATCAAATTCGAATTTGCATGCCCAGTGGGTTGGTTGCCAGTTGCATCACTGCAGGATTATTGCAAGTCTTCATTTCACGTATGAAACTACTTAGGATTAATAAGGTGACGATGAGCAAGTTGTGGTTGGAGGCAGGTTGAGACAAATCTCATTACTCGAACCATGAAATACATATTTGTTTTGTTGAGATAAAATCTATTCCAGCGAGTATCGGACTTTTACAAACTTATCATTACTTATGAGTACTAATTTTTACTGCGTTACAAACAATGAGCATTATAACTTGGATTAAGATGATCTAAATGGTCTTTGTCCTTGCAGGTTATTCATAAAAGCGCAGGACGGAGGGACACTGCTTCGTGCGGAAGTGTTTGCGGAAATCGCGGAGCTGGACAAACTGATGCACAACATTTCCATCGAGTGGGACGACGACACGTTTCGCTACGAAACCCTCTGCGCCGGGTGGGACGGGGAATGTTACGAGAACGATATTTTGGAGCTGAACGAGTCCATGTCGGACATTGAGCATGGGAAAATTGTGATGCAATGGCCGCTCTTCCTCACCCAAACCACGTTCAAGTCACTCCCACTGCCCTTCATCTTCGGAGGGGTCAAGCTAGGGAACCTGTCCAAGGTCGAGTTCGTCACCGCACTCCAACTCAACTACTTCCTCGCCGTCAACACTCCCAAACAAGATGCCAGGTAAGCCATGCACCAACCAGCCTCACTTTCCGTATGAACCTGAAAATAAATACTTTTGGATGAGCCTATGCACCCGAGAGCACAGAGTTGTCTGTAGAACCTTGAAATAGATTATTTTGCTTGGTCAAATATACGGAATAGTGAATTTTCGAGGTTGTTTTATATGGGACGAGTTTGACAATTATGGTGTGACCTCCACACACTCGGATACCAACAACAGCTCGATCTTGGCATTCTTGCTGATTTATTTACCTTATAATCCATTTTTGAAAGTGCTTTCTGCCGTACTGAATTATTCATAAATGAGACGCAATCTGTTGTTTTCAGGGGGGAAGTGTGGGAGCAGAAAGTGTTGGACACGTTGGCAGGGAAGGAGGGGACTTGGAAGCACATCTCCGTTGCACGTTTCACCGTACGGACGTTGGCCCAGGAGTTGGAAAAGAACACGTTTTCCGTGCTGCCATACTTTTCAGTGACTGCGATTTGGATGGTGGCCTTCATGGTCATCACCTGCATGATGTGTGACTGGGTCAAGTCGAAACCCTGGCTGGGAATCGTGGGCGTCATTTCTGCCAATTTGGGCTCCCTCGCAGCGTTCGGGATCGTCTGCTACTGTGGCGTCGAGTTCATCGGGATCAACATGGCGGCCCCCTTCCTCATGCTGGGTGAGTCACTTCTTTCCGCGACATAAGAACTGCTCATCCGTGGTCTGATCAAAATTAATAACGCTAATTGGGCACGATCATCTATGACTCAGAAGCCGGATATGTCGTGCTTACACTCACAAAAGGGAACTGATGAGACGTGTTGGTTGGTTTGGTTTGAGATAAATATGAATTAAAGGGCTTCTTTGTGAATGAAAAGGAGTTGCATCAGAGGCGGCAGCGTGAATGCTGCTGGTCCTCCTGAATAATCATCATCAAGATTTCTTAATTTAAACGTGTGTGAGCAATTAACGTTGCATGGAAATTATAAAATGATTTCGTCAACAGTGTTCATTGACTTGAGACGAGCTTGAGATGCGGCTGTGTAGGTAGTGCCATAGGCCAAAATCTGTGTGTAGGTGCATGTCCTGAGAAAGGTGTTAAATCTCTCAAATTAAAAGAACGAGGAAGCAGAAAGTGTGTCACATCGAATAACACACACACACCTCCAAATATAGCATAGAATTTAAAACGACGACGACGACGAAGCAATTAAATCCACTTGATACACATAAATAGCACACACACACACAGACAGAAGCACAGACACAAAGCTTCGAGAGATAAGCCCAGCAACAAAAGCAGTGATTGTGGGCACCATTTTTTGCATCCACCATTTTGCTAAAATAGAACCTGAAATTGGGCCAGTTTAATTTCATTGCTAGTAAAATTATAAAAATGGCTCGGTGTATGAGCCAAGTGGAACTTAATTGTTATCAGAGCCTAAATTTAGCTAATTTTTAGTTTGGCCGTTGCTTGCCCCTCCCCCGTCATAATTTGTCGCTAATTACTTTTTCTGCTGCATGTCCACTGACCATTTCATGTGAATACATATATGCAAATAATACGTCCATCTATGTGCACCTGCTCCTTTTGTCATTCACACCGCTCGACAACACTTTACATATTTGCTACTGTGTACATATTGCATGTAAGTTATATTTCGACCATTTATATATTGCACCCAACTTTAGAAATCAACAAGTACTAAAATATAACGATGTCGGCAGGGTTGAAGTATGACTCTTGCTAAACGCTAGAAATTTTTTCAGTTTCCAAAGATTTTATCCCGTCGGGAAAAATGAGATGAAAAATTGTGGCTTGTGTAACATGCCAGACGAGACGAGAAAGTTGTTCGATCTTATTTCAGGAGTTTTAGAAAGACACCTTTCAGAAATAAAATAGGTGACTCATTTTTGGTCATACAAATATTTATCTCTGGCCTGACATCGTGTGAAACAATGCATTTTATAATGTTTATTTTGACAATGAGGATTATTAGATTATCAAAAAGTGTATGAATATATATGTTCGTCCGATCGGACGGAGTGACACCAAAAAAATAGGTGCATGCATGAAAGTAAAAGTTTTCAATTTAGAATCTCAGAGCTTTGCCATCAATCAAATTCAAAAGGTCGCTTTGGTTTATGGGTTGAAAGTGCAGTGACTGGCTATCACGAGAGAAATACGTATGGTATACAAGCGACAAGGTCGGCTGTGATCGTACAGCCATCTCATCACGAATAAAACAATATCACATTTAAAAAGTGACTCGGCGAGTTAATGTTTATCTAGAAAAAATTATAAAACAACGGTCAGTCACTCTTTTTAAATAACATCATCGTATCGCACAGTCATACAAAATGCAGTTGCATTCGTTAGATATTCAGATAAAAGTGGTTGTGAAAGCGGATCCATTGGTGTTGATGATGATATTTATTATTTTGCCGTATTGTCACGTACAGAAATAAATGCATACTTTTTTTGCAATAGGGAGTCGTAACCGAGTAAAAATTGTAGTACTTATTTAAATCTCAGCTTTTTATTAAGTTATTTACATAGTTGTCTAATTGAGCAGGACGAGAAGAAAGAGCTCGAGGAATCAATTGATCCTGGCTTTAAGGCAGAGTCACCTCAACATATAAATAAATATGCAAATACTAAACAAAACTTTACCCTCGGCTCATTGCCAATTTCATTAATACGAATTAATAATTGCGAACTTCACCGTTGGCTGGGTTTACTGGGTTGTTCTGTGTTAATTGGCGTAGAAGGCTGATGAACAACGACGAGACGACGACTCTGCAATATTGTCATCATCTCGATTCTAAGCCAAATCTCATCTTGGGCTCATGTTAATGAGATGGCCACACAGATTCATTTAGTGCTAAATGGATAATGTGTCAAGGTGTTGAATCCTCCTCGGCCACATCTTCGAAGCCGAGGTGCATGGTGCACAGTGCCAGCACAAGAGTTTCTAACAACTGTCACCGTAAACTGGCAAAAAATCTCGTTCATCTCAATAATGTGCTCGCTCATCTCCAACCAACAAAGGGTGCAAATTGGATGGAATATGCACTGCTCATTGTCATTCCTTAATTAATTTATCAACAAATTAAATCTGGCACACACACACACAATAATTTTCCAAAGGTGACAACTCAAACCTCGCTTTGTGCCATAATCTCTTAGATAATTGTAATTCCATTAAAGACTGAGAAGAACCTTGGTCGCACATTAATCAGATTTGAGGGACTTGGATTTTGTTTAAAACAATAAATGTTGCTGTTTTTTGCACTTTTTTTATGGTTTATGAAATCATGCGAGCGATTAGTTTGTGGCAGATGGATGATTATGTGTTATGACACATCAATCAATTGGTGATTCATTAATGGAGGTCAATGGTGATGATTATTAAGCTGTGTGTCTAATTGAGAATTATTGCGAGGTGTTGTGTACCTCGCTCCGCGTGGCAATATTTTGATTTTTTATTAGGCTCTGCTGGTCATTATGTTGCAAATATGATATTCCATTCGACGAAAAAAAAAATGCTTATGTGTCTTATTTGACCTTCAAGGTATCGGAATTGATGACACGTTTGTAATGTTGGCGTCTTGGCGTCGGACGTCGCCACACGACCCTGTTCCCAAGCGGATGGGAGAAACGTATGCGGAGGCAGCCGTGTCGATTACCATCACGTCCATCACGGACATGCTCTCTTTTTGGGTCGGAGTGATCACGCCCTTCCCCTGCGTCCAAATCTTCTCCATCTACTCGGGATCCGCCGTCGTGTGCACCTACATTTGGCACATCTTCTTCTTCGGGGGCGCCATCGCCTTGTCCGGGTACCACGAGGCGGACAATCGTCACTCCTTCTTTTGGTGGCTCAAGGCTACTCCACGCTCCAAAATTGGTAAGCTAGCAATAGCTTTATTGAGAAATAAGTAAGAAATTAAAAAATGACACTCACTATTTTCCTAACTGACGAAATAGCTGGCAAGTCGTTCTGGTATCGGCTCTGGTGGCAGGGAGGCATCGATCCGGACGATCCGTACAATCCCAAGGACAACCCAGATCATGGTAAAACATGTCCTTCTGTTTTTACCTTTATTTAGGATGTCACCCACAAAATGCAATTAACACAAAATTATTTTGCAGGGATCATGGTCTTCTTCCGCGACTACTGGGGTGCATTCCTGAACAAAACGCCTGTCAAGATTATCGTGCTGGCCATTTTCATCGCCTATTTGGGAGTGAGTTGTTGGGGCATCACAAAAATTCAGGAGGGGTTGGAAAGGCGAAAGTTGACTCGATACGACTCCTACGCGGCCACCTTCTTTGACACGGAGGACAAATATTTCAGAGATTACCCTTATCGAATCCAGGTAACTAAAATTTGGCGAAATTAAGCAGGACAGTTTTCTATACTGGGTGCCCATATTTTTGGTCGACAGGTGGTGGTTGCTGGGGAGATGGACTATTCCAATTCCTCGGTGCAGGGCAAGATTGAAGGGATGATGAAGGAGTTTGAAGAGTCGCGCTATTGCAACGGGCAGTACACAGAGTCCTGGCTGAGAGCGTTTTTGGGCTACGTGAAGCGGTCCGAAGGTCTCTTTGACTTCAACATCACGACGGAGGAGCAGTTCATCAAGACGCTGACGGAGGAGTACATCGACCCCTCGTCCACGTACTATGAGGACATCAAGTTCAATGAAAACATGACCAAAATTGTGGGCGCACGGTTTATCGTCCAAACGGAGAACATTTCAGATTCGAACACGGAGCGAGATATGGCGTATCATTTGAGAGCCATTGCCAAAAACCAGTCTGCCATTGGTGAGGACTAGTTTTTCACATTTTTCGGAAAGTACTCCATATTTTTAGAAATGGCTAATGTCACGTCCAAATTGTAGGCCTCAATGTGACTGTGTACCATCCGTTCTTTGTCTTCTTTGACCAATTCCTCCTCATTCGGCAAACGTCCATCAACTGTGTGTTCATCGCAGCGATAATCATGATGGGTAAGAAAAGCTCAGTCTTAAATATTAAGGTGGTTCCCTTATTTGACACGTGTGTGGTGTTGGTGCAGGCGTGTCGCTCATTTTTATCCCGAATCCACTCTGCTCACTCTGGGTAGCGTTTTCGATCGTGTCCATCGAGGCGGGTGTCGTGGGATTCATGTCCCTCTGGGGGGTCAACTTGGACGCCATTTCCATGATGAACCTGATCATGTAAGGCCATGTAGTTCATTCAATGATGAGTTGTGTTTCTTACTTAACTTTTAAACGGTTGGACTCGTTTTAATTCTTCTTATATTTGTCTTTCATTGCAAAAGGTGCATCGGATTCTCAGTCGACTTTTCCGCACATATTTCATACGCATACATTGCAGCAAAGGTACTTACATACGTCACTCATTAATGATGTTTGTGGTGGTTGTGGCGATGGTATAATGAGATCATTGCTTATCACTTTTGTGTACTTGTTCAGGTGGACACGCCGGAAGAGCGTGTGAAGCAGTGTTTGTACTCCTTGGGTCTGCCCATCGTGCAGGGAGCAGTGTCCACGGTGCTGGGCGTGATTGCCCTCCTCGTCGCCCCCTCCTACATCTTCATCACCTTCTTCAAGGTCATCTTCCTGGTGATCTTCATCGCAGCGCTGCACGGGTATGAATTGTTAGCATTATCAAAAATCGTTCTAAATTGTTCATCGAAATTATATTAACAATCGAAATATAGGACATTGTTATTAAAGCCATTTCTCTTTTTTCCAGCCTCCTCCTCCTCCCCGTCCTCCTCTCCCTCTTCGGCCCAGGCTCCTGCTCCCGACTCTGCGGTTCTGACTCTGACCTCGAAATCACCTCCCACTCTGACGACAGAAAGGACAAAATCGTTCCCTACTCTTTTGTCGTGACACCGGCGGGACTGGACCCCAAACTCAATCAAGGTATCCGCTCGCAATAAAAATAACATAAATGTTGGGACATGCTGATGGTTTCAACTAATTTCGGCTCCCCAATTTAGGAGGAGGTATGGCTGAGAAATACAAGAAAACGTCTGGAAATGGATTTCCCGGAAATCTTGGCCTGCACGGCGGCTCTTTCGTCAATGGAGGTGTGATACCACGAATCAACGGAATCAAAAGCCAGGCCATGCCGCCCGCAAAAGACGCTTCTCCACCCTCTCGCAACAGTTTAGAACGTGACCTGGGTCTCGGAACGTCAGGTGCATACAAAACCTCGCTATTCTTTACACGCAGCTGAATTATGGAGCCTGGCAGGAAGAATTGTTGAATTGACTTTAAATTATTTCAGGTGAGGACGAGTCGTCCGAGTCCAGTTTGTCGAAAAAGAACAAGCGTTCCTCGCACGGAGGGAAGCAACCCTCGTCCAACTACCCGATGAGTAGCATGAAGGAGTTTTACAACAACGAGGGCTACTGGAGTGACGACGAGGAGATGGCCAACGCGGGTCACAACGCTCACCCAGCCGGTCAGCGCTCCTCGAAGGGGAGGAACAAGAGTCCAGCAGCAGCCAACAGCAATAACAATAATAATAGCACTAGTTTAAGTAATAATAGCAATAGTGAGAAAGTAGTCATTAGTCAAGGACATCGGTCCCTTCCTCGAGAGCCCCACAGCTCACACGTCCTCCCCTACGGCACCCTCCCCACCTCAACAGTGTCACAAAGTAACGCTGGTGGTGGTGGTGGCGAAAGGGTGCGCAAGTCCTCCAGAGGCTCCTACATCAACGAGTCCAAATTCCCATGACACACGAATTAATTAATTACGCGTCCCCTCCACTCCTCAGCCCCCTTTTCCCTTTATTGCTTATGTTAAGCGAGGATCCTTACCAAACCAAAATATTATTTAACCTTATTTTATTTTATACGACACACACATTGCTGGCTCCTGTGCTGCAAATGTTTAAGACTTTTTGGAGAGGAGGTAGAGAAAAAATGTTCCAATTTTGGTCTTGAATGACTATTTTATTTTATTATAATTATTTTTCTAATTATAATTATCCACATACATTACGATGCAATTTATTGTTGGAGGATGTCGTTGACCTGGTCTACATATATCTCTACTACTGCATATTATACTTATACTGGTTAATTAGTAATATTACGAGTATGGAGATGATACCGGTTATTAATTACTTTTGTAAAAAATCCTGAGTCCTACTTGTATCACTGCTGCACATTTGGTCAACTCGTTCTTGACTGACTCGTGTCCGCAGTTTTACAAGCCCTTAACTTTGTATGTAATCCTACCTATTTTACTCTCCTCTTGAAATATTTGGTGGATATACGAAAAATGCGTTCAAATTGTTCTATTTTTACGATCAGGTCATATTTTTATGTTACTATTTACTGTTGTATGCGAGCGAATCCATGTATAAGCCCGTAAAGTGCTCAATGAATGTCGACGATGATAACCATGCTTAAGACTTTTTTGTTAAATACAAATTGATGTAATTATTTTTATTTTTAGGTAAAGTTGTTCGAATAGTTGCAATTTGTAGGTGAACAAAAAGCGCATATAAATAGTGCCATGAATTCCGTCTCTCGAATAATTAACAATTTAATTGATGATGATACTTTTCATGAAATGTAAATTCACAAAAAGATAAAAGTTTTGTAAAGAAAATAAATTCAATCATAGTACTTGAACTGAAAATGTGACAATGATTTATTATTCATTACATGATCATATTCAAAATTTATAAATTAGTTTGTTGCTAATCTTCCATTACAAAAGGATGAACGGTTTAATTAAATATGCATATGCAAAGAGGGTTTTATATAATAGAACAGTTAAAATGGTGTTACATGTGTTAGTTGTCAACTTCCATGGCAGTGGGTTCCACGGTGGGAGGGGCAACTGAGGTTTTTGACGTGGACGGCTTGTTGCCTCCTAGAAGATGCTTATGAACCATTTCCTCCTTGTTGATCAAATGAGTGGTTCGGGAGATGAGAGACATCAACTTGCTCAAGTTGTGAGCCCAATCGTTCAGGGATTCACTGGGATCTTTGGAAGACAAAAAGGATACGATTCCCGAAGGCCGATCAATTCGTCCAACCACGGTGGTGCCCACAATCATTCTGCAGAGGCAGGTTTCAACTTCCTGTGCAGCAGAGTCAATGGGACACAATTTTCAAATACCTACGTAATGAATTATTGTCCGATAATGAATTATTATCGTATAACACACCTCTTTAGACAAATCCAACAATTCGGACATCCTACTGAGGGAAACACGGGTGTAGTACTTGGCCATAATGCGAATATTCTGCACGAACAATAATGAGTCCCATTGAAAAGTATATACATATATTTAGCCAAAACAATACATCGAACTAACAACTTACATGCTCTACGACACGATCTTTGAAAGTCTTCCAGCGTTTCACTCCAAACTCTGACTCGTCAAAGACTGCAGTCGCCCCAGTTCCCGTTTTTAGTTCTGTTTCGTACATCTCGCAAAGGTCCTTCCAATTAATCAGTTCTTGATTCTTGAAAAGCTCCAACAATGTCCTGAAAAAATAGAGGGCAGCATATATTTAGTGTGTATGTTTATGTGATATATAAAATTGCAGTTTAATAAGTAGGTTTGAAAATACTTGTAAGTTGGAAGTTGTTCTAGTGATTTGTCCTCCAACATTCTATGTAGTAAATCGGACTGTTCATTTCCATAAGGGCTTAACAGAAGATAAAGCACAGCACACTGCGTGTAGTTCTTCTTTTCAGACTCAACCTTCTGAACTCTTGGAGTGGTCAAAATTGCACGAAAATGACGACAAATGTTCAAATAATTCCCTTCATGTTGGTCCATTTCTACCATCGAACTGAGAACAGAGAAATAACAATAAATCGTTCATTCTTTTGTTGTTAACCTTTAAAAAAACAATAACGTAAATAAAGTGTTCGAATTTTTCCTCACTTGTAAAATTTTAACTTGAGGTCGTGAGTAGATTCATCCTCGAAAAATTTGACGTTAATCTTTTTCGAAATGATTTGAGTTCGAATGTAATCGTTCTTGGCGAGACAATATCTCATCTGTTCCAGAATCAGTTCCACCTTTTCCCGACGTTCCATTGATCCGTAGGTTTCAACTTGGAGTTCTTGCAAAATCGTCCCAGCCAGAGCAATGTCTCCTTCTTCTTCACGCATTTTTGCCAATTTGTACGTCAAACGTGCACGTTCCACCTCAACGTAAATCTGGAAATATAAGTACCAAAATAAGGTATAAATAGTTTGCAAAGAACTCTTCTAGTTTTCTTTGAACTCGAGTAATTTTATTACCTTGCCCTCGGTGACACCTCTTAATGCGTCAATCAACTCATACTGCTCTTTTTTAGGTAACTGATCGATATAGGTCTGTGCTTCTTGGACCATTTTAACAACGGCTCCTTTCAGCTGACCCCTCCGTTTGGCAAACAAATTGATATTTTCGTTAAGGGCGGTCCAGTTCTTAGCTTCGTAGCAGAATTTCACAATAGCTACCAGGATGCGACCAGTGGAAATCATGTCCCCATTCTATACATGCATTAATAAAAAATATTATTATTATTATCATTCACCAAAAATTGGTACAGTTATTACAATGATACTCAATTAATAATACTCACCGTTCGAGTCTGTTTTTCAAGGGCGACCAACTCGTCAATAGCTTTGGTCAGGTTTCCCTCTCGAGCCAGCTTTTCAGATTCCGGGATCTTAACGTTGCATTCTTCGGAGAAATCATGCTCCATTTTTACAGTCTCCGTATCTGCGGCCGGAGCCAACGTGGAAGAGTTGATGTCCATCCTATCTTGCCGATAAATGAGACTGGCCTCAATTGAGAAAGGTCAAAGGCAGCGGACTTTTATTTCCGGTGATATTTGAGGATGGCTCTGTAATTTCAATTTTCAATACAAAACTGTGTAAATACCCACTACTCGAAAATCAAATTAAACTCTTATCATTCTACTTCTATTTTTGTTGCTGAGCTATAAAACGCAATAAATTCCTAAGGGCTAGAAATGAAGCAACTTACCCAGGGGTGCACCGCTCCTCGTCCTCCCTTACCCACGGTATCCTACCCTAAATCCCCAAATTTCAAATGCATGACCTCGGGTCGACCCATATATCAAATTGAAGGTATTAATGAGTAGATCATTTCTGCATAAAAAATACCCAACTTTCCCGCTCCCAATTTTTCAGGAAAAATAAAAATATGCCGAAAAATCGCATTTTTTCTCACTTTTTGCACATATTTTAATTTTTGCTGCAACATTTTGAGTGGGAAAGTTGAGAATTTTTTATGCAGAAATGATCTACACATTAATACTTTCAATTTGATATATGGGTCGACCCTAGGTCCTTCACTTTTGAAAACGGGGATTTAGGGTAGGATACCGGGGGTAAGGGAGGACGAGGAGCGGTGCACCCCTGAACTTACCTTTAGTGATTGTTACACCAAAAGCTGTTTGCAAATTTCCAAAAATCAAAAGGGGAGAAAAATTGCAAAATTTGATGCTCTCCGACTTGACAATGACGGCACAGAAAAATAGATCCGTCCGCCAGCGAGATTTGGTTTGGGGCACAATGCGAGCTGGCAATTGCTCACGTCAGCTGGTTTCCTCGGTGTCTGTGCATTGTTGTTCGCACGTGAGAAGTTTTAGATGCAACAAACCCGATTTTTCTGTGCCCCTTATTTTTGCAACCTTGCAGCCCTTCACAACAACCCCCTCACATTATTTTTATGGGTGAGGACGGCGTCTAACCATCAGACTCCCATGGGCAAGACGTCCACCAATCGCGCCCCTCCTGACACACAACGAGGGGCACGGACGTTGCTAAATCTGACGAAAGAATCTCATAGATTTAAAAGCCGACATACCACTTCGACTTTGGCCACCAGCAGTAGAAGAGGCAGTAATCATCAATTAAGGGGAGAACGAAGAGCTCAAATTATGTCGTCAGCCGATAATCTACAAAATAATCCGGGTATGATACATTTATATTCTGCTTTATCGTGAAATCTGCATTAGATCTTATCTTTTCTAATTCACCAATTCTTAGCAGGTACAGTTTCACCCTCGCATGATTGGGGAATGTATAGAAGAAGTTCATACAACCAGCAGTCTAGTCTGCAATCGAGAAATTGGAATAGTTACAATTTTCGTCAGGAAACTGAACCTTGGCCATCTAACCATCAACCACGTTTTGTACCACCACCTCGACAAACTCAAGTGAGAGGGAACTATGCAAGGACTCCTAGTCGTGATATGCAACAAAACAATACGTTCCTTCAAGGGGGTACATGCATTTTAAAAACTAGGATACAAATAAGAATAAGTTTTAAGTTTTAAATAATATAACTAGATATTTATTGATACGCAGGTGGTTATTATCCTCCTCCTTCAATCTCGAACACATTCCAACGAGCTGCTTACCACTATCAGTTTGGATACGCAAACAACCAGGCTTATGGCAGTTATGGCTTTAATCATCAGCAGCAGCAGCAGCAGTACAATCCTCAGCGACACTACTTTCAAGCGCAACAAATCCCATCACAAAATTATGGACTCTTTCAATCTCGTAATTGGGAAAATGGAAGCGCTGGTGATGATCGACGTTATTCAACTTTTAGTCAGGGAAGAATTTTATCCACAAATGTCTTTCAAAGAGAATGGGAAGAAATACAAAGTGCCAACTCCTTTGCAACAACGCAGTCAGTCTTGGGTTTGTAGCATTACTTATTTACTTATCTAATATTAATAATATGCATGCAAAGATCGAGGAGCTCATCTTTGGTCTACATTACATATAGGTACCGATAAAAGTGTGAAAATATCTGTGATGTGCTACAATGTGTTGGCTCCAACACTCCAAAAAGAGCACGGGTACCTGTATAAGGAGTGTGACCCGGAAGCTGTGAAATGGTCCTACCGGAGGCGTTGTTTTCACAAAGAACTGGAATTATATCGGCCAGACGTTGTTTGCTTGCAAGAAGTTGAAGCAGATTTGATTCAGGATTACAATCACTTTTTCCAACAATTGGGCTACAAAGGTCTCTTTAAGAAAAGGACGGGAGATAAATGTGATGGCTGTGCTATTTACTTTTGCGACAGCAAGTTTAACCTGGTGGATTCAATTTCTGTTGAATATTTGCAAAAGTCTGTGCCATTATTGAATAGGGACAATATTGGGCTTGTGGCAAAATTGGAAACAAAATGTGATTTGCGACACAAGTTTGTAGTTGCAACCACTCATCTACTATTCAATTTACACCGCACTGTAAGTATTCTGCTTAGGATTAACAAAGTGTTTGCACACACAAACACATGTTTTGTTGGGTAAAGCTTATGATTATTCCAAAATCACAACAGGACGTAAAAATAGCACAGGGGACGTTGCTCTTGGCAGAATTGGATAGAATTGCTTGTTACGGTATCGATGAAAATGGGTCACCACTCTACTATCCCACAATAGTCACTGGAGACTTTAACTCTGAGCCCTCTTTCGCCGTGCCTCAGTTGATGACAGGAGGACAAATTAATTTGGATAAAACATTTTTGTATGAAAAAATTACGAACTGAATTGTATATCGTTGGTGGTGACTAATCTGCGATTCTGAATGCTTAGGAATTCTAGATCTAAAGGTGCTAAATTTGGCAGCAGCCGCAACAATGAATTCCTTGCACAGTTGGGTATCACACAACGGTGTCAACACTATGAACTAGTTCAACAAAGAGGCCAAATAAAACCAGATATGGAGTTACATACGAGTGACTCTGCGCCTTGCATTAATCTCTCCAAGTCGACCCATTGCGGGCACGATGAGAACTTTGCAGAAATATTTTACAGTAATACTAATTCAAGCTCAAGAAGCTCCAATCGACAGTCATCATCGTCTTCTATCAGGAATGCGAAACCACTGCCAGTATTGCACCGTATAGAGCCAAATAATTCAACTGTTGCAGATATTAATAATCTGCAGTCCGAGGAGAACCAAGGTGAGCTAGTGACCCATGCCTTTGGCTTCAACGACGTTTATGGGTTTGCTACAAATGACGAGGATCTGAATACGTATGTAACCACTAAGCAAAGCAAGTGGGTACGGGTGGATTACATATACTACAGGTCAGTTAGTAAATAAATGACCATTCGAATTTGGGAATTTTAACTATACTAGGGCTATTTAAATTGCAGTACAACCAACCAAAGATGTGTCAATGCAAATGGCACACGTGAAGAAGGATCTTTAAAATTGCTCCGGCGACTTAAACTGCCGACAAGTGCAGAATGCAAGAAATCGGGTAAAATTCCCCAGGAAGGAGCATCTTCCGACCACTATCCACTTCTTGCAGAATTTTTACTGACGCCCCTAACATAGTTCATCATTCGAAAATCTAACTACTATATTCAATCTAGTAGATTGACTAATTAAGTTTCGACTGAAGACAATGAGCTAGCAATATACAAATGAAATGTGTTCAATAGTACATACAAGTATGTACTTTATACGTACTTGTTTTGGACTGCAAAAAAGCATGTGATCGATTATCCTTCCATGTTAATACAACATGGGACATATAAGTCACACCAGGGCAAGGTATGGGTCAAAACTCTCCGAAAATCGATCACCTGCTTTAATGTACGGTCCCTTTCTAATTTCTGATTATTATATTTTGGTTATTCTGTTTTCGGATGTAGTGCTACATACTACTTTAATATTTGATACAATTTTGATACAGATACCAAACAAAACAATGAGTAAAATAAAAACGCCAATGAGAAATCAAAGAGCGAGGAGGGTTCGTGATTTTAGTAAAGACCAACAATTAACCGTGGCATTTATTTTAAGAAATGTATTACTTAAGGTGACATAGCTATAGGTCTCCTCAATGTCGTCTATTTCTTGCCAGATTCCGCCTTCCTCTTGGCACAACGTTTCAGCTGCGCCTTGGGCTTAAGGTTGTGCTTCCTCGAAAACTTGAGGTTTTTCAGGAACTTGGGGTCTAAATAAAATTAGGCTTTTAGTTAAAATTCAAAATTATTATGATACATTTACATAATTTCCATCCAATACACAACTACACAATATCTGTATAACGTACCCACTCCAAGGGTCGACAGAGTCGGCTTTGGTTTACGGATTCCATTCCTGTGCGCCTTGCGATCTATATAAAAGAAACACAAAATTGAATTAATAACTACTGCATATTTTTAAAGTGTTTTTATAAGGACACATTAAAACGGAAACCGTGACCGTGGATAAGCGAGGATACGACTTACTTTGATTATGATTCGTGTGATTCTTGGACTTTGCCATTGTGCCGGTTTAACGGGGGGTTTCCCAGGGGGTGGTCAACTTCCAAGTCTCAAAATGACAAAAACTGACGGTCTGTGTGTGGAAAGATAGAATCAAAGCATGCCTCGTACAAATTCAGTCCAAATCCGCTCTATTCCGCTCTTTCGCTCGCTCGCCAGGTGGTGCTCCCAACAGCAAACTCCTGTCGTGAGAACAATTCGAGACAATGTATGTAACCGAGGCAGTATGAGACAATGAAATAGAAGCAGTATGAGAAAGTGAGACTGAGGCAATGTGAGACAGGGGGATGGAGGCACTGTGAGACAATGAAACCACTTGTTTTCCATCGTCTCAATTTCCTCGTAAAAAGTGTGAAGCTACTAAAAACAACCAAAACCAACATGAGATGGAAAGTAAATCTTGTACGGTAAGCAATTTCTTTCTCGATACTTAATTTATTTATTCAACACAATACAATAGAACGCATATTATTCACGTTGTCAGCGATTGTTAAAAACAAGTTAAAAAAGGTACGATGTAATAATATATATTGTTTAAGTCCATTTTGTAAATAACAACCTTATTACTCACTCTAGTACGAAAAAAACTGACCAATCCGTTAATTACAACAGGTCGTCAGCAACATAAGTTAAGAATGAATATTTCACAACATTTTAAAAACGTATAACAATAAAATAATTTTAATAGCCTGAAGAACAATGGAATATATAAAGCTTGTAACAAGTCCAGTTGATGATCATACATCATCATCAGTATCATCACGGATATCGCAGCAATATTAATTTACATTTAAAATTACAAAGTTCATTTTATACATTCGTTCACTTATTTCATTATCAGTCAATCTCATCCCAAAACGGAATAAATTACTACCCTCAAAGTATTGTGTATTAAATTTATATTGACAATATTTTTCATACAGTACATGTACAAAACTCTTATTATTATTATTATTACTTTAATGACTTCCGACTAAATATGTATGCTGCTCAACGATAATAAATATTTTGTATGTATTTAATAGCCGTACATGTAATAATAACTAATAAGCGAAAGAAGTTCCTGTTCTTCTTGACTGAGGACAGAACAATGTAAATTCTTGTAGTTAAACGTTGCTAAAAAAATGTGTATAGATTAGAGCAGTCTTAAAAAAGGAAGGAAATTAAGTTCACTTTGTTGTTGTTGCTTGTAAATTTTTGCAAGGAAAAAGCATCTTCATATTATCATCACGTTAACTAATTAATCATACATTTGGCGCAGTTTAGTTAAGTAATCACTGATCATTTTAAATTAGTCAGTATAATACGTAATCTTGATTAATTAAAGCATTCGATGTGTGCATGATACAATGCAGAAGGAGTTTATTTAGCCCGACGTTTCCAATATTATATTGTCATTGAAAGGATGAAGAGAGGAGAACGTACGTTCAGAGAAGAGTACACCACAGACAATTCGGAAGAGAAGGAATTTTGTAGAATTTCATGACTTTCTTTTCGCTTTCACTTTTTTCCTAAATATTTACGAGCACACATATCTTTTGCCTGGGGTCGTGGTGAAGGGAGCCAAATGACAGCCAAACACTCGGAAATGAAGCGACAGACAGAAATAGACAGGTCTTGATTAACTATTTACTTATTTAGAGTTGGGAATGAATTAAAAAAGTGTTATCATTGATTGGATTCGTTGCAACCATGTTTTGAGAGGATATGTTTGAATACGTGTTGTGTTTTGTGAGATCATTTATTAAACTGACCGAGTCATCAGACCCAGAAGAATTAATATTCGTCAGCTTTTATCAAAAGGATTATTTGATTAAAAATGAGCATGGCTTCAGTTGAGTGAAGAATATGGGAATGTAAAAAATTCATTTAATTTAACTTTCGACGCGACGCGACGCCTTGTTGAACACACGAAGCAGACTACTTAATAATAAATCTCCAGTTAATAAATCGTGACAGGTTGCATAGAGCTTTTTTGCATAATTTCGTTGGCTAGTTTCGTAATATTATTGCGTTCCTTCCTCATACGACGTTTGTAATGGCAATTAACTTTTGTAAAACGAGAGACCGATGAGAAGTACTTGATGAGCTGTATACACATTACACATTACAGCGTGGATGTGGTACTTTCGGGGTCGTGAGTGTGTAGGTAGGGCGTATGTATGTATGTAGGTACTTGATTGCAACCGAAAATATAACAATTTATGTACTCTCACTAACTACACGAGAAACCCTTGAGCCAAATGGTTCCGAATGGCTTGAATACTATTAATTATCTTCCTCTGGTGACCCACCAATGTGACACCGATTGCTGCCAAATCTTGCACTGTGAGATTAACCACCGAGTCCACCGAAGATATCCCAGCATTGCTACAGAAGAAAAAACAACGAAAATTTCAATTGTTTTTATGCCTTCACTTTTTTCATTGAAAAACTCTTTTTCGAAATCTCACCTAAAGAATTCCGAGTATCTTCCCATCTTTATTGACTCTAACCACTCATCTACGGAATCGTACAGGGCGGATGCTTCATTAGTCCTGCGTCAATATCAAGTCACGGCCAATTAAGAATTGGGATTACAAGGGGACAAGTAAAAAATTGTGATTTCTTAGAAAACCAGTCGCTCACCTGTTTGGGGCAAGTTTCGATAACGAGTCGGGAAGCCGAATTAGTTGATCTGTTGAATAAATCATTATTAAAGCTTGAGACAACTTTACAAGCTTTACGACTAAATAAATAGGAAACTGAAAATACCTAGATTACAAACTGTGACGGAGAAAGTGGGACGGTGTGACCGCTCTTTGTGCCTAAAAGTCGATATATATATATTTAAGATTTACCCAAATTTTGTAAATTGGACATCAATAAATTTTGGGTTTATGTACTTACCAGCAGTCGAGCATCAATTGGTATCTACAAGGTTAAAAAAATATTTAATTTGCATGTCTGTGCATTGTTAAACAGTGGTAGTTGGTCTTACATAGGCTCAGGACATTCCATGGGTGGCGGAAGTCTGTAGCCCTTGTCGATAGACTTGATTACATCCTGGTTGCTCCAGTTCCAGTATGGACGCTCCCCGTAGGACATCACCTCCCAACAGACGATGCCAAAGCTGTATTTGCAAAGGATGATTTAAAAATATCTCAGTCTGAAGAAATGAGTCAGATCTTCTTTGCGACGTGTTTAAACATTTAGTCGTGCTTACCTCCACACGTCACTGGCGGACGTAAACTTTCGGTACGCGATGGCTTCTGGCGCAGTCCACCTCACAGGGATTTTCCCACCCTGTATTTACGATAATAGGATTACAACAAAGTTGAGCAGGTGATGGCAAGTAACTCCTGAAGCAGTGATCACTTGCGATCAGATTACATAAGGGAAAGACTTACTCTCGTTGTGTAAGCTCCTTCGGTGGCTGATTCGATCTCTCTGGAGAGCCCGAAATCAGCAATTTTGCAGACAAGTTGTGCATTCACCAAGATATTTCTAGCTGCCAGGTCCCTGTGCACTGCAAGACGTCAAATCCTCATTAAGAACTTGCCATACTTTGAAATGGTCAAAGGAGATATTTCCTAATTTACAAAGGGAGAAGGAAAAAGGAGTCGAGGGAGAAAACTCACCATAATTCATTTCTGATAAGTATTGCATCCCTGCTGCGATTCCCCTCAACATTCCAACTAATTGGATGATTGCGAATTTGCCGTCGTTCGCTCTGCGAATAGATTTCAATATTTTAGACATACATTCAATCTGCACGAGTTGAATGGTGTCCTCCTATTCTTACCGGAGAAATGTATCCAGCGATCCGTTCTCCATGTACTCGGTAATAATCATGACGGGCGAGGTCTTGGTGACGACCCCTTGTAGAAAAATGACGTTGGGGTGTTCAAACTGACCCATGATGCTGGAATAAGACGAAAGTAAATTATGGTCTGTCCCCGATTTGAGTCCTGACTGTGCCCGTACAACGAAGAGTTCAAAGCTTAAAATAAAAATTACCTCGCCTCGGTCAGAAAGTCCATCTTGCATTTATCTGAACTTCCAGGCTTCAGAGTTTTTATGGCCACATCAATTTCTGTTCGCCCAGCGAGTCTCAACTTCCCTTTGCACACATCTCCAAACTGGGCACAAAGTTATCATGCATCGTTTTAGAATATATTTCAGCTCTATTTTCACATCCGATATGGATCTGGGCATAATAAGGCCATGACTCATACCTCTCCACCACCAATTATTGCTTCAATGCTGATGCAAGAGGGGTCAATTTCACGAGCAAATTCCCGCACCGCTTGATTTACATCTTCGTACGTGTGAGGGTCGATGTAGCTCTTGAGCCGAAATGATTCTGGGAGGTAGCCTGAAAGGAGAAAAATACGCACTGTCAAAAATGGCTCCTGCTTCTCAACGACACAAAAAGTCAGGAATAAATAAGTAGAAGGACGCAGTAAAGCCAAGCGGTTACAGTTTTCCGAAGCACGAGAGAGCAGTGGAAAAGGAAAGGGCATTGCATGACACGACATAACAATAACATGCATAACAACATAAGATCAAGTTATCTGTAGGTAGTCAGCAGGTCGGGGTGCATAAGTGAAAGCCCACCATCAATTATTTGCCATGACTCGTGGTGCTGCGAGCCTATTACACTTCTCTCTGATCTACAATACCTCAGAGATATCAAGCAATTATCATGCACGTTTTCCATAAAGAGTGAGACTGACTGGCTTGAAGGGAGGAGGAGGAGGAGGGGAGGACGCTCTCCTTCTTCGCGTTTAAATTGAGTCCACAGGGACACGGGAAGAATTGGAGAGAGCGTGGAGGAGAGGATAACAGTAAAGTTGTTCATAAATGTGTACTACAGAGTGCGAGTGAGCAAACTATGTAAAACTTGGAAAACACTCTGAATGTGCTTCTTATAAGGGAACGGATGACTAACTTACTCATGTTGGGGATGTGGGTGGGGATAAGTTGGGGAGAATCCATGTGCGAAAGCTCTAAAGGGTGCAAAACAAATACAAACATGCAAAAATTTTTAAAAAACATGACTCCAAACGCTTACTGTAGGTCACAACTAATCCTGATTTTGACCAAGAATGAAAAATGATGACCCATTATTTCCAGGTGATTCGTTACATAAACGCAGCGATAATTTAGAGACAAGATTTTGATTAGTTCAAATTTTGGAGCAGTGATAACTAGGGCTGAGAGTATTGATAATGATAAATATGGTGCCGTTAGTCCCAAGAAGAAACCAAATCACCCCATAAAACAAATCACCCCTCACCATCGTATAGTTCTAAATAGTAAATGAACGACTGTCGGATGAATAAAGCAACATCATACCTTCGCCATTTCTGTACTCGAGCGTATCGCAATCGCTGGGCTGCTTCTTGTTGCAATCATCATTTCCACGTCTGGAACACCATAAGAATTTATTACTCGAGATTCCCAAACCTCCGTTTAAGCGCCGCCTGTGAGTCCTCCTTCTCACGGTTTATGTCGATGACGGCATTTACTCGTTTTATGCACTACTGACTTAGTGGGGCTTACCCTCTGAAAAACAGGGCGGCTGCGATTACGAGAAAGACGAGGACGAGCGCGACTGCCACCGCGATCACCGTGATGAGCAACCCCTGTCGACTGTAGTCTGCTTCAGGTCCAACCAGCGCGAGCAGTTGACCCGTCCTTTTGTACACCACTTGACTGAACTCCCCCCACCCAGACACCGTCTTGGCTCGGATCTACAACAACACGGTCAAATTGTGATGAATTATTATGCCAAGTAAAGTAAGTATTTATACTGGACCAAACTTTCTTTATCCGTGTGTGATGATAAGTAAGTGATGCTAAAAATGTACCTGAATGCCATAGTCAGTCTTTTGCTTCAAGTTCTCCACGACATATTTGTTGACTCGCCCAGCCCTGATGATTGTGGCGTTGGCTTCCCGTCCACGAGCAAAGTAGCGAATTTCATACATTTCCAACTCGTTGAAAGGGTCATCTGGAGATTCCCACATTAAAGTGATTTCGGCCGAAGTTACGCTCGTCACTCGCACGTTTCTCACAGAGAGTGGCACGGACGCCTCCGTGGTCACCGTGATCTCCACGTACTCAGGATCCCCCGATTTCACACTCACCCCATTCTCCGCAAACACTTTGAAGTGATATTCTATTTCAACAGAGAGACGAATTTTACTTAATTGCCTAATCAATCATTTCAAGTGGATACCAAATAGTTTGTTTTGACGTACGGGAAACTGCGTTGAGTCCACTGATTGTAATCTTCGTCTCGTTGAATCGTTCCGTGTTTGGAATGTAGGTGACCCCTTTATTCACAGTTACACCACCGTTAGTTGCACATTGATAAAGAGAATTACACCATATCGAAATCTTACCGTAGGGACATGAATCACAAGCGACACGATACACCGTGTCAATACGTCCACCCAGAAATTTGGGGCTTGACTGAAAGAAAAACACATGAAATCTGTCACCTCATCCGTACTTCATTCAATTCATTTAGTCAAGAGTCACTAAATTCTCACCCAAGAAAGCATCACGGTGGACTGGTCGACAAAGTTGAGGGTGAGATTTTGGGGGGCACTGGGGGGTTTGGTGCAGGGTGTGGATCGAGGATCTGTCTCCGCTCGGAAGTAGCCCGTGTTGCAACGGCACTCTCCCGACCCTGTGTAGGGGGCTGTGGAATGTTCGGGACAAGGGCCGCATCGTCCGTCCCCATTCTCAGGCTTGTATCGTCCTGGGGGACAAACTGCAAAAACGAACGAAATGACGATTACGTAAGATTACAAGATCCATCTACCAGATTCCTGGCTGGGATAACGATAATGCATGTGCAGAGTAATAAAGATGACAACATTCTCGCATGGAATTTCTGGATAGATGATTACACACGTGGGCGTTAGATCCGCCAACAAGAACAACATTCCGCAAAAATTATGTATCCACATATTTCTCGGCGTATGGGATTCATAACAAAATTAAAACACTTAAATCTCTGGCGAATCAACAATTTGGGCATTTCGATTAAATCTCCGTTGCGTAGTTGTTGGATAGAAAATGCAAATAATCTGGTGAGATGGGAAGATAAGGTATAGAAAATGGAAACATGGCTCAAGGGGGCGAAGGGAGAATGGGAATACACAAGACCGTAAACTCGAGCGACATATTTATGGCCACTTGAGAGTCCTTCATATGAAGGAAGCAGTTAACTTTTCCTCCTCCGACGAGAAGTTAAACTGCAAGGGTGCAAGAAGTTGTTGTTGGCTTTGGCATGCATGCTTCCACCCCATCGGATGAGAAAAATAATATAACTCGCTCATCATAAAATACAACTTCTCCTTCCTGTGCTCATACTTTGGCTTTTTTCCTGTCTTGTTCTTACCGTTACAGGTTTGACGGGAATGGTCGGGCTCATAGCCGGGCTTGCATTGGCATCCCCCGCTCAGAAGATACCACTTCCCGTCCCCCTTGCACATCGCGTAGATCGAAGGGCCTTTGGCTGGCGTGGTTTGGTAGTGTCTCGGAGGACTGATTTCCACAGAATTGGCAACACATTTCCCCTCCGCTGCAATAATTTATTGAAATTCGTGAAATTACGTATGCATCCAGATAATAATTGATGAGCCAAAGTTCGTATGTAATTGCAAACCTTGCTCAATGGATGTCAAGTCCCTCCCGGTCGGCTGGCCGGGGAAAAACGCAAAGCTCGCCGTCACTTCCTGCAAATACGATCCAAAAAACAAACTCAGCGTCAGTGGTGGTACTACTTATCACTGGAGGAGATCTCCACTAATCTTTGGCAGTCTCACTATCAGCATGTATTTACTAAGCACATACGACATACGACATAAGTAGGTCTACTAATCTCCCTCCCTCTAAAATATTTCCTGCTAGTTCTACTATCTTATCGCCTACTTGTGTAATGACGACAAACAACCAGAGCAAGAATGCAATCCTTACCGGACAAGTGATGTAGTACACTTTGATGGCCAAAAGGGAAATACAAGCTCCTGAAATGAAATCGAATTACAAACAATTCGTTAAAAAACACGGTCAGAGCGGGGAAATTAAAACAACAAATACAGCAATCTCGTTCTCTCTCTCTAACCTTGATCTCGGAAGGCAAAGTAGACTCCCTTTTTCGTGACTGGAATTGATCTCACTTCGGTGTTAATGATGACCTCGTTGTTGAGGGTGAAGCGTCCCTCGTCCGCCGCGATGCGGTCAATGAGAGTGTAGCTCTCCTGCTCCCAGGGCGGTGGCTCCTTCGTCACGGCGTCGAATTCGTAGTAGAGGAGAGAAAACGTCTCCTTGCAGGAGAGGGCCGTTCCAGGAAATAGGTTGCAGTCTCGCTGTGACACAATTATGCCCAAATTAGAGTTCGATTCGAATTGCACTCACGAAATTAAATTTCAGCCGGGGCTTAGGTAGGTGCTCACCATAGAGAACTGGATCTCGATATAAATCCGGTTGGCTGGGCCCCTCTCGATGAATGGTGTCCACAACCAGTTATTGACATTGTTGTAGGCGACATCACACACGACATAGGATCGCCAGTTGATCCCCTTGTCGAAGTTGGTGAAACTCTCCTCGATCCACTGTGCACATAATGTTTTTTAGGCATCGCCATGTCTCAATTTTACCAAACATTCCCACAATCCAGCCAGCCAGCCAGCCAGAGTGTTATTATTATTCCTGCCATTTCGTGCATGCATGTCTCTAAATGCCTACGACGTCACTAAATAAATTGTCTCATGCATTATTGCGTGAACGAAAATAAGAGATTAGAGGACCGGAATTCCAGCGGAATTAGTGAGGAAAATATCAGGAAAGTCCTCCTTCCAGTCTCGGAATGCATAATGTAAACATGACGAAGAGGAAGAGAGATTGAATTTGTATCGAGTTTCAGGCCTGACTTAATCCAACTTTTGTTTGTACTATCTGCATCTGTCCGAGATAATGCTGCACATAAGCAGGACAATTTACACGCCTGCACTGGAAATCTCAGCTCACAACACGTACGTTCTTTGCGTCCATGCACATCATCCTCATCCTGGGAGGACCATAAAATAAACAAACTTCTCGCCTCAACCCTTCATTCAAATTAATTAAGACCATTACTTCTTATCAGTCAGTAGTTGGACGGAACACGGCGAGTTAAAGTTGTACATTTTCATTTCCAGAAAAGACATCAAAGAGCGAGCAACGAAACTCAGGTTCATGGAAATTTGACTCTTCTTCTTCCTCTCCGTCGGCCTGTTTCACAGGGTCGGATGTGTGCGTGGAGCTTACACGAAATATAATGCAGAGTACATTGTATGTTTAAATATTTGGCTTCCTATCATCCTCCTAATATCCCACTCGGCCTCGTCCTTATCTTAAGTGAGGCTCTCATCACCCACCACACCACACATGATTGGGATTACTTAGCCCGATACGAGCGAGATAGAAGATATCCCACTAAAAAATTTGAAAAAATGAACGGTGACTGCAAATAGTCAAACATTTACCGGCATCTCGTCGTCGTGTGTATTTATGTCTACTGTTAAACTAAGCCAACAAATCGTCTCCGGTCTCAGGATGATGACGACGATCCTGCGAGGATGGATGGATTCATAATGTAAACAAAAAGTTCATTTTGTGAAATGCCGTCGTCGTCGTCTCACTTACTGAAACCGTATCTCGTTGTTCGTAAACAAGCATTATTATTGACTCTTCACTTTTATACGAATGTAGGTATGAATGATGGTCATATACTTATGCATATTGGTTCTAGTGCTGTTATGGATAAGCACTCTGGCTGGAAGTGAAAACTTGGTGTGTGTTCAGTTCAACTTACCCCTGGAGTAGCAGCTGAAGGACCGTAGGGGTACTGCGTCCATGCTAACGAGCTCTCCTCAGTGGTGTCCAATAGAACCACTGCATACAATAATTTAGCCAAGTGTCAAATATCGCATGAAGAGATGACAAAAACAATTTGCTTAATACTGGTACAAGAACGAGTCATTTACCTTGTTCAGCTGCGTTTGCGATGGAATGTGCGAGGAAATGTGAGACGAGGAGAAAGAAGGTTGATGAGATCCGCAAAGAGTTCATTTTGTATATTTTGAGTAGGGGGTGGGTGGGTCGATGGGTAATTACATGTGGCAGGTGAACACACGAGGAGGAGGAGGCGTTTTTTGAAATTTCAGGGTCGTTTCGCTAATTGTCGTCCCCGTTAAGGTGCAATAAGGGTGGTGCAGTTGGTGACTAGCAGTAATACATAATTTGGGGTCGTCTGCTCATTTTCCTCCTCAGAGTCGTCAGCTTCTCTGCCGTCGTCGTTTATTGAATTGTCACCTGTTCCTGGGCAGGTCCATCGTTTATTACTCTCTGAAAAAAGTACAAGTTGGTATTAAAAGAACGATTACTTTGTCCCTTGGGACGATTGTTGTGAAGTTGTCGTCGTAGTAAAATACACTACGACCAGACCACGCTCGACGATATACTAATCTCTTTTTGAGAGGCACAATGAAACCTTTTGTCTCCAGAAGACGTGTAACAGATTAAGTTATAGCAAGTAATGTGGCACGACTAATCGATGAACTTTTGGGCAACAATCGTTCGTTTCCTTCCCAGAGTTACAACACACACACACGACGACGAGCATCCTTCCTGTCCCTCAAATGTCAACATACATGCACATTCATCACAACCCTTGTTTAGTGCTAAAGCTAAGCTAAAGTTCGTCGTCGTCGTGGGTGTAAAGTTAGACTTGGTGCAGATAATGACGATACTATCAAATGGGGGAACAGATAATAAACAGCGGGAGTGTGCACTCCTCTTCCTTCCTTTTTCCTCTCCCGTCGTCGTACTTGAAACAAAAGTGCTAATCACAAATGACACAAAAGTTTAAAAAGTTTGCTGAATTTCCTGAACTTTCTGTACGACGACGACTGAGAATGACACCCAGCAGTGTTTTATTCTCTGACAAGTTTTATCCCTGCAATTTGCTGGCATATTTTATCCGTCGTATCTGGTTTTGTACTCCCAAAAGTGTACGAGTCCCAAAGATTTACTTTGCTTAAACACTTTGACACTAACTAAAGCCATCACCCGCAACTCTGAGAAACAACTGGCTGCATGTATAAAATCATAAAAATAAATGCAGCACAACAGAGCACTAATGTATTTATATTTACATATGCATATACGTAAATGTATGCAACTGGTAATATGCAAAGGTATTTATGTAGCTGGCTGGCATGGAAGGAGAAACGGATACAGCCAGAGAGAAACAAAGTGCACGTATAAACTGCTCTGAATAATGTTTCTTTCTTGGGTCAGCGTCCACAAAGTGTTCTGAAAACGAGTTAATGAGTCATCTCGGGATTGAAAATTGGCATTCCATACGAAAATTATTATGCAGCATAGAAAGCAGTGCAGTGAGTTCTTGTCTTATTATTTCCCTCATTATACGCATTCATCATTATCTGCTGTCGGAATCATTAGTGAGAAGAGAGTGACTGGCTGAACATTACTGCAGCAGTGAAGCAAATAAGTCGTGAAGGAGGAAAAGTACCCCACATTCCACCTTCGTCGTCCTCGTCCTGTTCTTCTTTTTCGTCTCTTCGGAGAGTAAAAAAGGAGAGATGATGACTATTGTCATTGCCGTTCTGTGGCCTATTGTCATTGCCGTTCTGTGGCCTGTTGTGTATGTGTTCATGCATAATATGGAGGAATCACTAGTTGCAATAAGCAACAGCACATACACACACAGCATTTCCCATCATCATCATCCTCCAGCCACAGGAAAACTCGCCTGGTTGCACACCAAGCTGAATAACTGACGCATGTTTTAAAATTCAAATGGGGACGGGGCACGAAGTCTGGAAACAGATTCGGAATACAAATTGCTGACCAAAACTACGAGCCGTATGGTCCTGACTCGCACTTGACAAAATAAAACAAACTCCAACTCCAACTCTGCCTGGGTTTCCCATCCAAGTCCAAAAAGAGAGGAAACCACAGAACACAATTACGCATCTCTTCTCGTCTCGAGTGAGTCAATCTAAAATGTAAATGCGAGCAAAAACGGCCACAAAACCATCAAATCCCAAATCCAATCTTCCCGAACGGACGCTGGCATTATTATCCGCAATGATGTGGTAGGTGGGAGTCATCCCCAAGTAGCAGTTATTCCTATCTCGTCTTCTGATCTGATCTTCCGTGAGAGCGAGATTATTACGCGGATGGACAGCTCTCGTATGCATTTAGTAAAAGGTGAGCAGAGTAAAGCAAACAGTGAGAAGAGACAATTGATGCGTGTAATTGCCTTAAAAATGTGCACAATCTGGCATCCATCTCCATCTCCATCCATCCCAGAGACACAGAGGACACGGAGGATATCTCAAATCTCGAAAATCTACATACCAACCAAAACGACAACTAACTAAACCACTTCTTCTTCGGTGGTGCCTGCCTACCGACCCACCGACTCGACGTTTCTACGTGTGCACATATGAGACCCATTATGTTTCCTACTACATCATACAAATAATAACACAATGCGGACGAGCCGTGCCATGCAGCCTTCATACTTCATCAATGTCAATACACCCAAAAAGAGTTCAGAAGATGCAGTCAGAGGAGATCGAGTCACTCAGCGGTGGATCTCGATCCTCCATCCAACGACGACCAGAAAGCAAAGCTCCACATATTTTCGAATGCCATCCCATTCTGCCTCCTCCTTCTGTCTCTGCTGCTGCATTATCTTTTAGCATACAGCATGACTTTTATTTTATGACAGGACCAGAACCAGATTGAAATTCAGTGTCGTTTCTTTTGATTTTTAACCCAATCTCTCCACATTCCCTGCATTTATTCTACCTCAACTCTCACCACACGACGAAACCACAACCTCAATCAAATACACTTACCTTAAAAAGCAAGTACAATAACCGTTTCAAAACACATCCTCTCGCTCAGCAAGATGAGAATTACTGATTCCTATGGATTCACTCACTCACCACACTTTTCGCTTATTATCTACGTACGTATCCTCCACACTCTAACGAAGATGGTTTCATTCCAGGAAAAAGAAAATCCATTAAGTCAAATGACGAATGTGATTCCATCCAAAAACTCTCTGCGGTCGTATTTTGCCAACGAAACCACATCCAATTTCAACACAGATGAACCATCATTTCCCTTTATTTTATCGTTATGATTGACTCCGAGAAGAAGAAAAAGGAGAGAAAAAACGCTCAACTTTTTTTGGGGTGGTTCAATCAAACTTGAAAAGATGTAGTTTTACACAAATTCACTTGGACGTAATGTCACTCTCGATACTTGAACTCTTCACTGACTCTCTTTCCCTTTTGATCAAAAGATCGAGCAATTTTTTTTTCACGGAGGAAACAGAATTCAAATTCTCCTTCGAGTTGTGTCATGGATTTAATGTGTGATCAAATGGGTATCATCCGAGGAGTGGCTTATCCATCCCACCCATCTCCATATGCCTGAAATTGATCCACTTATGTACCCGTCTCCTTTCACTTATCCCTCCTCGATATGTGCATACTCACTGGGTCCACGAAACTTGTGGAAAAATGTACACTCTGAAAATTGAAATTCGATTGAAAGTCAGCAATTCCCCGTGGAATTGGAGGAGCAACCCATTGTGTCACCAGTTGTTGCTCGAGTGTCGACAATAATCTCCACCACAGACGAGGCGGAGGGCGACATGTCAACTTTGCGCAAGGAGGCGAAGAGTCAACACACATTTCGAAATTTCCATTTGCACTCCTTCGTCACCAGGACGAGCAGGGTTACACACAGCGTCGCTGGATATAGGATCCTAATGGGGACGTGTAATGATAATACTGCCAACCAAGTTTTTTTCTGCGTTGGGGAATCAAAAATGGAAATTGGTCTCAGACCGGGGAGCAGTGAGGAGGGTATAAGAAGAACTCAGAACTGCGAACTCTTCAGTACTGTTCACCCTCAAGAAGTGCAGCCCTAAATCACCGTCGTCCTTTGTCAATTACCATCTATCTCACAATTCTGCTGATCCACACACAGCATCCAATTCAACGCCGGACAAATTGCTCAGTCGGAGTCAAAACTTATTTACTCACTCACTCACTCCTACCAAAACTGGATATACGTCTGTATGCACTACACCCCCATTGTTGTGTGGCAATAAGATATCGTATAGGGATCGAGGGGACAAGGTTGCAGCTGGATATACGCGTAGGTGGCTATTTCAGAGAGGAAGTGGTGATCCCTTGGCCTGTAATTGACTTTGGAGCGACGATGTCACTGCGGACGCTGCTTCGTTTGAGGATTCCCTTGTTGTACTGCTGCTGCTGCTGGAGAGATTGGTCAAAGGGAAGAAGAAATGGAAAAGAGCCCAATTTTATTTTGAGGAATTTCTCCCCTGTCCTACACCATCTCTCACTCGCAACAACTTGTTCTTCTTCTTCGTAACAAATGCATCGAAGACGGCTGTGTAAAGTGGTGGAGAGAGAGAGAGGGCATCAGATAGCTATTAGAAGATGTGTGTAGCAACTGTTGTGGTTAAAGAGCTCTAGCGTTGGTAGAGATATGCAGCAGCCGGGGGATGGATGATGATGATGGGTACCTATGGGTATAATCTGAACAAGTTACTTCTTCTTGATGGTGCTTGCATGTGGATGTTGCCGACGGTGGTGGTGAAGAAGAAGAAAGATTTTTCAATAGTAAAGTAATCATGGTGAGGAACTGAGGAGGGACGACGACGGCGACGACGACGACACAAGTTGGAGTTTACTTTGTACATCTTTCCTCCTTGAGGAGATTTCACCCTCTGAAGGCGAACCACAGGAGAATCTTATACACGCAGCATAGCAGCCCTGCATACATACGAACTCCGACCAAACGCTGACTATTTCAAAAGGTGGCAAGGCTTATAGAGTTGCTTTCGTGTGTAATTTACCTCCATTCCCTTATATCCATTATCTCCACCAAAAGCAACTCCATTACCACCACCACCATCACTCCCAAACTTCCAATTTCATAAGACGACGTGCCTTTCTCTTGACTTGCCACCACCGCAACAAGAAGTCCCCTCTCCAGCAACTTTAACTAATATTACCCTTCGAGAGAGAGAGAAAAGCCGATGAAACAAATGGGCCTTTGCTACGCCCGTTACAATACAATTATGTGTGTATGTACATACTATTCATTATTCAACCATTCCTCCCAACTCCCAAAGAACAAGCCAAGAATACGCATATTTCCACTTCCAGAATCATCACAAGAAATGAAATTGTACGTTGTAAATAGGAGTCAATAATACGTCAGGTAGGGGTTATAAGGGCATGCTCACTGCATTGTGTTCCTCCTCCCCCTTCCCTACCCACCCTCCTGCCTCCCGTCTACGTACATACGCATCCACGTACGTGCCCTTCCAATAGCTGTCCTCTCTCCGTTTAATTACAGAACTTTGACGTTTTATTGCCCCACCAATAAATCTATTTCTGAGGCATCACCGACACTCACCCGTCCAACAACAACACCACTTTCCTTGACTCAACACAGATGAGACTGATTTGTCAATGAAACCAAAACATGGTCAAAAAGGGTCAACCTTTTATTGCAGCAGGCATACATATTCTGTAGAAATCGGAGGCGATGAGCAGCTCACAAGTGAATATCTGAGAGCAGAGCGAGCGAGGTGTCACTTGGTGGAAATAGTGACCCTTCCTTCTTCTTCGTCATACGGGACTTGTGCGTGTGACATTTTTGCAACTAATTGTCAAACTCATTACTCGTACGACTTGCTCAGCTCGTGATTATGGAGCCAAGTGGTTGTTCCCTTCCTTCGACTCATTGCACTAATTCCTTAAGCCTCAAAATTTACCTCTTCTTCTGTACATGTGCGTTGTAAAAACTTTTTGGGTTAAACTTTACTCGACTACTTTTCCACTGTTCTCTTATCTCTCTCCTTTATTTTATAGCCCCGAGTATGGAATGAATAGGGTTATAAAATAAATCTCGGTTGAAACACCAGTTGAAGGGTCACCTCGCACAATTCCGCTTCGTCTTTTCTCTCCACAACTTTGTTGGAAATTCTCATTATTGGGAAACCCATTACGACCAACGAGCCCATGCAATCTCCTCGCCTCCTTAACTATGCATGTTCGTACGTAGAAATTGGCTCGCTATATGCTCGTGATAATATGCATGGAGCAGGCGTGGCGAATTTGCTACATGTCTCCCGTGCAGTTGCATCAAAAACAGAAGCATCACACACATGCCGTCGTCGAGATAGAATATGAAAAGTTTAAAACAGTGGGAAATAAATGGAGACGAGAGGAGGAGGAAGGAGAGAAGATTTGATGTCTTAAAAAGAGGAGCAGAACGATATAAAAGTAATCAAATAAACCTTCATTCTCATCCGTCTACCTTAAGGAGCGTCGAATAACAATAAAAATCTCACAAAATGTACAAAAAAAGACGGTAGTGAGTGAGTGAGTGAGCAGACAGGTTGGGAGCCTTCTAAATCCCCAAGATATACATATTTTTAGGCCGGCCTACCCACCACCACGGACCACGGCGAAAGGGTATCCTTCTAATTTCTAGACCATGCATGCTCACTTTAATATCAATTCAAGTCTCACATGAAAACTCTCTCGTGTTCAACTGCTCCCTCGAAATAGCGTCCCATGTATCCCGTCTCGTTGCATAGAGAATGAAAGGGCGACATGAAGTGAAATTGTGTTTCGAATTTCAAGGCACCACCACCACCATCGCAACGACTATATCCAAAATTTGGAGCAACTTATTGTACAGTGTTCATGGGAAGAAGAAGGCAATCTGTATTTATACTCAGCCTGTTCCATACATCATCATCATCATAACAGGAATGAGTCTCTCTCTGTGTGAGATGTTTATATATTTGAGCCTAAAAACACGCATTCCTTCAGCCCTTCTTCTACCCACCCACCCTGCGAGGAGGACGACTTCTTCCCGTGGTGATCCCCATTTTACTCCTTATTATTTAGAGAGACATGCTTCAGCGATATTTAATGCACGAGAGATGAGAGGACAACAACGGAGGAGACAAGACTTCTTCTTGCTCGTCTCTCTCTAAGTTTTTTGGTGTTAAAAAGTGAGCAAGTTGAGTAAAATAAGTCTCACTCCTGGGTAAATGATGAGAACAAGTGGGGAGCAGATGAGAAGATCCACTTATTCCAACTTTGTCAGATACCATGGGACGTGTTTCGCTTCTTCATCATCATCATCATCTCGCATCGCATCCGTCCGTCCGTATCTCTCTCTTTTCACCAAAAGAAGAAGAAGAAAGAAGAAACCAGAGGAATAAACTAAACTCTCATCCATCCCATCAGACGAGTGTACGTACAGCTTTGATACACTTACTTCTTCTCCTCTCACAAAAGCCAACTCGGGATTTGGGACGAGTTTTATTGAGGCGATGCAATGTGTCGGAGGCAAAATAACATCTTTGATAAAATTAAATTGATTTTCTTTTCAGCTCCCAAACTACTCTTCTTCCACCACAGAAACAGGCTGCATAGTGCATACAGTGGGCAGAGCAAATAATGAGCCAAGCCTACTCACCACTCACTGAATGGCAACCCAATCAAGAAGGGGGATGATGATAATATGTGAGCAGTTCTTCTTCCTCCGTGAATTGCATTACTTCAATTCAACCCCACAGAAACTCGCAGCTTTTATATGTGTTCTTCTCACCCATTATACGCGACTAGGCTTCGACTTTCCTCTCCGCCTCGTTGTAATAATCAAGAGAGAGAGATGAGAGTAGAGGAGATCGGTAACTGAGCACTCTTCTTATGACCATCATCTCCTCCTCGGCTTGGTCGTCGGCAGTCTGATCAATGTGATCCTCGAGAAGCTACTAAAGGGCTGGGTGATTTTAGACAAAGGGTAATCGATGGAGTCAATCGGTTTGTTAGGTGGACCAATTAAATAAATAGGAGACAAAAAGTTGTTTCTCCACTCACTCAAACCTCTGATTGGAGATACGGCTTCTCTCCTTTTGACCTCTTTTTTATTCTGATCGCTTTGATTTTATGTCATTGGGAATAATTACGGCAAGTGTCTCGAGTATGCGATGGGATCCGATCCCTTGGTTTTTAGTCCACCTTTGGGAGTAGTCTCACTTCCTTCACGTCATTTATGTCTGCATTGTTGCTCTATCGATATCTCTGCTGACCCTGTCCGTCAATCTCTTAGCTTCATTCCAGAGTTAGCCCGTTGATGATTTAATGTGTCTAATGGAAATATTCTGTCGCTTCCTTAGTCCAGCCCATCAAAAGCATTCCTTCCGACACTTGTGCACACATTTATTTAGAGCTAAGGACATCCAAAATGCCCATGTTACATGTGTGTGGAGAAACATTTTTATGATTATTTCGCTCTATTTAACTACCTGCTGTCCATTCAGCATAACTGCAGGAGCGGAGATGCGTGTGTGTTTTTTGGGGTCGACGAAGGACATTAAGGAGGAAAACAATTAAGGTGAAGAAATGAGAGTAAAAGGCCAAGAAAAGTTGGGGGCACATAAAGGGATCACTGCCAAGTCCAAGGTTTTATTAGCACACGGAGGACACGATGATGCACTGACTGACCACTGCTCGAGAAGGAAGGAAGAAGGAGTCCAATTGTGTGTGTGGTTAACTGCTGCTGTTGTAAAAACGTGGAGAATATAATGGGAAAAAAGAAAGAGAGAGCTTATGGAGATGGAGAGAAGAAGGTACGTAATGCATACAACGGGGAATAGTTGTTGTTATTACGTGCACGATTTGGAAGGTGGTGGTGGAGGAGGAATTCACGATATTTTCGAATTTCCCATGGAAGGAAGCGCAGATACCCTTGAGGGAAACGTGACGGACGGAAAGGCTTTTGTCAAAACAGCAGCAGCTACTAGATTATCATGACTTGGGTAAATTTGGACGAATTTATTATTATATTTTCGTCCGGGCTTAATAAATGTCAAAATCTAAGAATAATGGATCATGTTCAACCAAGAGGAGAATTTGAAGCAATAATAGTGCATCCACCAGAAAAGGAGCTTCACATGTACACATAGCTCCGCACTCGTCGTATCCCCACCAGCCACCGACGACCAGAAGAAGAAGAAGATCCAATGGAATATCTTCCTCTTTTTCTTGGAGTTTTCATTCCATCCGACATCCAAACCAAGTCTTATTGCTGCTGGTGGAGAATATGTACGCTGACTTTTTGCTCCAAACGCATGCACCCACATATCTTGGAGGAGCAGTAGCCTCGCTTGATGGCACCTTAAGCCCAAGTTATGTCATATTTGAAACTTTATGTAAGGAGGAAGAGGCAGTGGTGGTGGTGGATAAGGTCTGCTGTTGGGTGCTGCTGGAAGGATTTAATTTCGAGACTCCAGGAAGGAAACCTGCTCTTCTTCTTCTTTCTGCTGCTCTGCTAACCAGCGT